TAGCAGAGACCTGTGCCCCCAGCTATTTTTGTATGATAAACATTTGTATCAGGTCAACAAAACATGGGCATAGTAACAATATTTTTATACTACAGTTATCCATTTTAAATACACTAACCTCACTCCTTTGTTAACAACTAAGGCAAAAATGTAATATAATTCAGAAAATCTATTCAGGACCCCACCTTGATGTTTCGGGACCCCAACTTTGGGAAACACTGCTTTAAACTGCTACATGCAGTGTGCTTAACACAGCAGGAAACTAAATATCTCTTCTGTCCATTGACAGGACATATGACTACACTGTGTTGTATCCTGGACCCAATCTGAACATGATCGTTGGAGCCAATGGGACCGGAAAGTCGAGTATTGTGTGCGCCATCTGTCTGGGTCTGGCTGGGAAGACTGCCATTCTGGGGAGAGGAGACAAGGTAAAGAGCAGAGTAACACAAAAACACGTTCATGAACCRAGTCTGCATTTCCTTATTGTTTTCTAGTTATCATCTTCTGTACATAAGTTGCTACCGTAATTCAGTTTTTTTTGTCTGTTCTGCTTATTTTACATTTGAGCTATTATTCTGTTAATTTAAGCTTTAAGCTGCTGTTACTGTAAAATTTCTCTGTCTTTGACTTCTCCACCTCTGTGATTCAGATAAGAAATATAATCTGAGTTTGTGAAATGTAAAAAGTGGGCTTATTTTGTCTAACTTGTGGGATTTGTTGATATCCGGTGACAAAGATACAAGTTGCAGCACATATTTTTGTCTCCTTCCTCAAAATAAAAAGCGCTACAATTTCATGTTGATCTAATTCTACATTAATGAAAACATAAACATTTATTTTGAAAGTTACATTGCGATTATGCCATTTAATCTAAACAAAATCCTGAACTCCGGAGCTTATGTTAAAGATTGAATACATTTATTTCAGGTTATTAACAAAATGTAATTTTCTGCAGGTTGGTCTTTATGTCAAGCGTGGCTGCCATAAAGGCTCTGTTGAGATCGAACTGTAAGTTTTCAAAAATCGGTGTTATTTTAATTTTTTTGATACTTTTACAAAGACTTTAGTGTTAATACTTGGGTTGTATCCATCCAGAATTTTAAAACATATCTTGCAAGTCAACAACTAAAATGTTTTTCACTGCAAATGTTACAAATATAAACATTAATAATGTTAGGAGTTGTTTATATTTGATTGCATCGTTTTTATTTGTTGGTAAAGGTACAAAAATGGGGGTAATGTTATCATTAACCGAGAGATCCACGTGGAGAACAATCAATCACTTTGGATGCTAAATGGAAAACACTGCAACCAGAAAAATGTGGAGGAGGAGGTCAAATCTTTGCACATCCAAGTCAGCAACCTCTGCCAGTTTCTGCCTCAGGTACGTCTGCGCAGCTGAAGTGTTCACAGTTCACTTAGGCAGAGCGATTTAGCTTGTAGTGTTCCTCATTTTCTTTAATCATGTGTGTTTCTCCGGACAGGAAAAAGTTGGTGAGTTTGCTAAAATGTCTAAAGTCGAGCTGCTCGAGGCGACTGAGAAGTCTGTTGGACCACCAGAAATGTATGAGTACCACTGCGAGCTAAAAAACTTCCGCAACAAAGAACGGGAGCTGGAGGTAAAGTGACAAGAACATTTTCTTTTTTTTTTAAATTGCTGTTTGGAACTGTATTTCCTGACAGCATCTAAGCTGTAAGTCAGCTTATTCCAATCGCACTTTGTTGCGTTTTTGACTTTGTGTTTCTCTGCAGAATGTCGTGAAGGAGAAGACGAGCTTCCTGGACAGGGCCAAGCAAAGGAACGAGAGGAACAAGCACGACGTGGATCGCTACTATCAAAAGAAGAGGCACCTGGACATCATCGAGCTGCTGGAGAAGAAGAAGCCATGGGTGGTGAGCTGTCGACGTGGGAGGCTGTGCACAAGAGGGTTGGCGGGTTTACAAGCACACTTTCAGAGAATGACTGAATGTATTTGACTCTTCAGGAGTATGAGACCACACGCAAAGAAATTGAGGGTGTGAAGAGAGAGCGAGAGGACGCCAAGAGGCAGCTTTCTGCTATGAGGCAGGCGCAGGCGCCCATGTTGGCCAAGATTCAGCAGATTGATGACCAACTGAAGCCCACCGAGGCACAAATGAAGGCTAAGGTGAACAACGATACTGATATTGAGCTCAAATTAAATGTGATAGTTGCTGAGAGTCATTCCTCACACATCTCTCATAACATTATTTATAAAGTTTGTCTAAAACAACATGAGATGACTTTGGTTTAAAATGATGGCGTTTTACTTTTTCCACAGTAGATTGGTCTGTATCTTTATAACTGTCGCTAATATGAGCTTGTTTTTCAGACTGCTGCTATCAAAGAAGCCTCGCTGAAGTGCAAACAGAAACAAGACCAGCTGGATCGTAAAAACAAAGAGGTGGGACTGATCGATCAAAGAGGAGCAATGTTGGAATGTGAAATGTTGACAGTAAATAACGACCGGCTCGTCTGCAGATCGATGACATCAAACAGTCACTGAGACTGAAGCAGATGGAGGCGGACGACCACCAAAAGCGAATCACCAACACCCGGCGAACCATCGAAGACCTGAAGGCGGAGCTGGCCAAAATCGGCGACCAGCAGGACGTGACGCCACAGATTAACGCCGTTAACGTGGAGCTGAGGGGAATTCAGCAGGAGAGAGCCAAGATCGAAGGCGAGAAGGCCGACCTGAACAGGGAGAAAGACAACGTCACAGCCGAGTCCAGAAGTTAGTTTTCACCAAACTGCGCCGTATTTCATCCATTTGACCACAAAAAAATGGTTGGATGGATGATTTTAGACATCACCCTGTGTACTAGAGGTGTAACAATACATCGATCTATATCAATATATCGATTTCAGTGGTTCATGATTCAGTTATATCCAGGCAAAATGAAAATATTGATCTATATATGTCATCATATGCTCAGTGGGAATCAATATCATTTGATATTGCATTATATCGATTGCAGTCTTGAACTGAATTGAATCAAAATCATTTGTGACAGACTTTATATTGAGAAATATCGAATCGTCATCCAAGCATCAATGTAATATCGTATCGTGATAAAGCTGGTGATTTACATCCCTACTGTGTACTAAATAACATTTTTTATGGTCAGTGTTGAAGAAGAGGCTCAGTGACATGAACGACATGATGAATGCCAAAGAGGTGAAGCTGCGAGGACGCCACAGGGACACACACACTGCCCTCCAGTGGCTCAGAGACAACCGAAATCTCTTTGTAGGAAACGTCTACGAGCCCATGATGCTGGTGGTGAGTCCCAGTCATAATTACATGAATACAAAATATGTGATCCTAGACATTTTAATTATATATATAAAAAAAGCCATACTTTGATGTTTGAAGGCATTTAAAAATATTTCAACAGCAGTTAAAATGCAATACAGCTAGATTAAACTAAACTACTTCAATAAGTGCATATTTACATGACTTGGAGAGTGAAATAAGAATCTTATGTTTGTTAATGAAACATCAGAACACACATTTTTTTTCCTGTAAACATAAATTGTAGATTCTTAATAGTTGCTCTGCCTTCATCCCACAGATCAACGTGAAGGATAATCGCTTTGCAAAGTACGTGGAGAACCACATCTCTTTCAACGACCTGCGATCGTTTGTCTTCCAGAGGAAAGACGACATGGAGAAATTCATGACTGAGGTCAGGATGTTGTGCAGGTTTTGGCAGAGGACACGCATCTTAACAGTGGAAAGCAGAGGTCTTCAACCCTGTTCCTCCTGACCCACTGGTCCTGCATGATTTACCTGCTTCCCTGCTTCAGCAGACCTAATTCAAATAATTAGATCACAGACTCAGAATGTCATCAAGTTTAGCAGAAACCTGTCAATYACTCCATTCCTTCCAGTCAGGTGTGTTGAAGCAGGGAAATGCCWAAAACACATAGAATCACGAGAGTCACGAGGAACAGGATAGAAGACCTCTGGTGTAAATTTAACAGTTTATTTATTTATTTTTTAATTCTATACTTAGGTTCGTGACAAGCTGAACCTAAAAGTTAACTCCATCTCAGCTCCAGAGGAGTCATGCTCCAAACGCACACCGTCTCGAAACATTGAATCCCTGAGGTGAGAGAGGATGATTTTTTTTCGCACCTGGATCCATTCTCTGTTAGATTTGATTAATGTAATAAACTTAGCAAATTTGCTATTCAAGTATACTTTCTTTTCTAATTCGCACTAGATGTGGTTCCTCTCCGGTCCGGTCCAAACTCTGCAGCWAATTCACAACCATTATAATCAATGAGTGTTCACCCTGATTCTGTAGGGCGGTGGTGAGTGGACGACGATCTGCCAAAATTAGATTCAATCCTATTTTAGCCGGATGCCACAGCTGCGCCAGAGTCTGTCTACAAAGATTACGTTGCACCAGCAGGAAAAAGGAATGAGCACAACATCCGTATTTTCAAAATAATTCACCAAAGTCAGACTAATTTTGTAGAAATTCTAGCTATATTAATAAATATATGGTTATATTTCTACACAAATGCTGTTGAAATTTATTGGTCCATTTGAGAAGCAGATGAAAACGTAGGGTGAAGCATATGTGTACACACRATACATGTTTTATTTTGAAATCAGAAGTTTTAAAGTAATGACAGCCATGCAGTTTCACTGTGTCTGGAGTCTGTCTTCCATTTTGCTTTGAATTCCACATTTATCACTAGATTTATCGCACAATCTCATTTCCACCACACGCTTCTTGGATTTCCTCTGTGCTTCGCACCGGAGCGGAGCGGATGCTGTATAAATTGGGGTGAAAACAATTGGTGGCAAACTGCGCACCACAGCAGTGCAGAGTTGAACTGCATCTAGTGTTAATTAGGGGTAAAAGTGTGCAAAATACTTCATGTGTGCTTTTTATTTATTTTTATTTTTTGTCTTCTATCTGCAGACGTTTTGGGTTCTTTACTTACCTCCGGGAGATGTTTGATGCTCCTGATGAGGTGATGAGTTATCTCTGTTTCCAGTACAAAGTGCATGATGTGCCCGTGGGCAACGACCAAACCAAAGCCTTGATTAAAACGGTACGGATCTGTTGTTACATGCATTCAAATTTTCGTAGAAGAACAGAGAAAAGGATGCTCAGGATGCTCAGTCTGACTAGTCATTGAATGTGATGCTCCCAAATTTAAAATCACAAAGTGTCCTGATGCATCTCAGTAATCCAGGTAGGAAAAAAATCAAAAAGAAAAAATAAGTAGGTCCTCTGAATGGGTAAAGATCCAGTTCCAAAGATCCAGTTCCCTGGCAAAAACATAGTAATATAGTATATGCTGTTAAGTGTCAGGAGGACTGTGATCAGTTATACATTGGGGAAACAAAACAGCCACTGTTTAAAAGAATGAGCCAGCACAGACGAGCTACATCGTCGGGTCAGGACTTTGCAGTTTACACTCATCTACAGGCCAGGACTCTGCAGTTTATACTCATCTACAGGCCAGCGGTCACTCTTTCAGGGATGAATATGTTCTCATCCTTGATAGAGAGGACCGTTGTTTTGAGAGAGGAGTAAAGGAAGCCATCTTTGTGAAGAAAAACCATCCACCGTTAAACAGAGGTGGAGGTCTTCGTGTCCAGTTGTCCTCCTCCTACAACGCTGTCATTGCAAGTATGATTCAGCCCCCTGTGAGCAAAAGGTGTGAATCAGGGCCCTAACAATAACAAACACAAAGAGGAAAAGAGGGATAAACAAACAAGGGGACGTTGAGCCCTGCCTGCATTCACTACATACACATAACACGACACGGGTCAAGTGATGGGGCACATGACTCTAGGAACAATAGAGCTAATCAAGCCTATTGTTAGGCAATGGCCCTCTTTTGCATGTGACTAAATAGAGCTAATCAAGCCTATTGTTAGGCAATGGCCCTCTTTTGCATGTGACCAACCTGTTTGTCCTCCATTTTGCATGTGACCAACCTGTTTGTCCTCCATGTGGAGGCAGTGCTTATAAGGCTGAGTTCATCTGAAACTCATCAGACTGAAGAAGTCTCTTGAAGGAGAGACTAGGGCTTCCACGATTAGTCGATTAGTCTATGACTAATCAACTATTAAAGGGGCAATAACATGTAAAATCAACTTTTTGAGTTTTATATCATGTTATAATGTTATACTCTCATAAAAAACATGCCCAAAGACTTGCTCTGACTCATTCATGCATATTTGAGAAATCCTGCAGCTTTTTTAGGAAACCATGCCAAGGAGGAAAATGACAGGTGGGGACTAGAAACGCCTTTTGGTAACAGAAACGCCCCTGTGACGTGTCTTTTAAGCCGAACTTCCTCATGGCAGAGCGCACCCCCTCCCCACACACCCCGCCCATGACTCCTGCAGGCTCTCGGCAGTAACAGAGCAAAAGTGAAACTTAAGCTGTCTGCTGAGATCCACTATTTCTCACTCAGTGAAGCACTTTTCAGATTCAAAATACCTTTGAGGAAAAGTTTTTTCAGACGCCAAGTAAACTGCATCATAGCGCACACGGGAAACAAACCATCCTCGGACGCGCGACCCCCGCCCCCAACCTACGAGTGAAGGGACAGAAGCAGGAGGATTTTCTTAAAGAGACAGGCCAATTTCAATTTCATGGCGTTTAGAAGAGGAAGTGATGAGAAGACAAGTTTATTTTCTATTTCAACATAAAAACAGCTTTTTAATAACAGCTAAAGGTGACCTAGATACTTTATTAATGTATAGTATTTAAATATATGCCTGAGAAACACATAATATTGGCCCTTTAAAATAGTCGATGACTTATTTAATAATCGATTAGTCGTTTATTTATTTATTTTTTTGTTCTTTGTTTTTCTCTCCAAACTGCTTTGACACCTTCCACTGCCACATCTACCTTTCTGTCCTTGACACACATGCACAGTAGTGGTAACTGGGGTAGGCCGTGGACGTCACAAGACATTATACAGACAGGCTCTGGTATCATGGCTACCCGGCAACGGAGCTCAAAAGTGTGGGATCATTTTAAGAAAATGAAAGAGAAACCTGTGCAATATCTGTAAGGCAGAACTTGTCTTCCACAGCAATTATTTTCAGTAGCATATAGCTAAAATCTAACGATGGTTATATATAATAGCAGCTGCATTCTGACACGATAAGCTGTATGTTTATATTCAATTAACGTATGATCCGATTAGTCGACTAATCAAGAAAAAAATCTGTGACTATAAAAATAACCGTTTTTGGCAGCCCTAGGAGAGACGAAACATTTCACTAAAGAAGAACCTATCCAGAGGACCTACTTATATTTTCTTTTTGATTAAAATCACAAACTTATTTATTTAAAAATGAATCTTGTTTATTTTTATATTTGAAAGCTCTTTTCTCGGACATTTGCTATTTCAATGTTCTCCCTCCCCGCAGGTGATCGAGGAGCCCTACCTCAAGGTGTTCTACACAACAGACGAGAAGTACAACATAAAGCGGTCCTTTTATTCCAACAAAATAAGCACCAGTAACTCTGCGGTGAACCAGTCTCAGTACCTCTCGATCACGGTGGACGCTGAGGAGAAACGGCAGCTGGAGCAGCAGCTGAAGGTGACGAAGTCTGAACCCTTTTCTCGAACATCCGTGTTTTTATTCATTTGAAAAGAGGGGACCTCGATGTGTTAGCTATGTTGTAATGGAGTCATTCTAGCATTTAGCTGAAGCTGCTTCTCTGTGCTGCAACCAGGCCTGTGAGGTAAAGTTACGAGACTTTGGTGAACGGATGAATGCGCTGCAGAAAGAGGCGGCTGCATTGGATCGCCGTGAAAACGAGCTGCTGTCAGAGAAGAAGCGTCTTTCTGAACTAAAGGGGAAGAAGAGACAACTGGAGCAGAAAATCAGCACCAAACAAGACAGGTGAGCCTCTGCTAAAACACCAGAAGGTCTTATAGAGATGAAGTTTGGTTAACTGGTTTGGTTAACTCAGGCTTTCTAAATTGATCTAGGTATTTCTTTTCGAATGTTTAGTTTAAGGCAAATGGAGAACAATGTCATCGACCTGAAGAAGATCGAAGAGGAAACTAAAGAGAAAGTTCAAGTCGTCAATTTCCAGAAGACGACCATAGTCACTGCGTTCATAGCTCAAATGAAGGTATGGAAAATTTAAATTTAAACCAAAATCTGAGCAATAATCCTCTGCATTAATTCTAGAAATGCTTTGAAAATCTAAACTTAGCACAAAAAGTAAGTACATTTTTATTTGGTAGATTATTTCTTCGTTGTAACAATGCTTCTTGGCAATAAATCTTTTATCAGACACTTGATTCAATTCAAAATAAATAAATCAATAAATAGATCAATAAAGTATTTTTGAATTGAATTGACTGGCTGCATCTGGGGGGACCAGAAGCTCAGAACAAGTCAATTGCAACAGTAAAATAAACTGTTCGGCAGAAAAGATTTGACTAATTTTTCATGTGCATAACCCACATACTGAGCTCTACTGCAAATCCCACAGATGCATGTTCCTTACAAATGTGACACTTAAAACAGAAATTAACAGGCTTTACAACGGTATAAGGTTTGTTACCAAGGAGCATTGTTACAACAAAGAAATAATCTACCAAACACTAATTTCCTTACTTTTGGGCTAAATTTAAGAAAAGCACTCATTAAAGAGCATTTTTAATCGTTATAGTATGGTTTCTGTGTCTACCTCCAATTTAAGTTTCCAGGTCATCTTTGTGTTGTACCCTTCTAATGTTTTTTTTTTTTTACTCATCATCTGCAGCTGAGAACCAAGCTGACAATAGAGAAGGTGTATCTGGCTTTGGAGACGGTTGGGTCAACAGCAGAGAAGACCAAGCTTGAGAATGACTGTAGAGAATGCGCCTCTGAGCTGAAGACGATGGACGTAAGAATTTCTCATACCAACAGTCATCTGGGAAAGGACTCCATCGGCTCATCCGTGCTAACTTTCCCCATGCCTTTACAGCAAAAATGCATCCGTCTGGAGCAGAGGAAGGTGCAGCTGTCGGAACAATGCAAGGGTCATTTGAAGCGGGCCATGTCCATCTGTCAGATGCAGCCAAATGCAGCGTTACCTGAAGACCTGCGTAACGTCTGTGTTCATCTCTGACCTCAGAGTTAAACTCATTGTTGCTGTAGAGGCTTTTTGAACTTCATGGTTCTTTGTTTTGTTCACGCAGGGCTTCAGCAAACTACCAGACACGCTGGACGAYATCGATTCCATGCTAAATGAGGTGCGGTCCAGAGCTGAGTGCTTCACTACTCTCAGTGAAAACGTAAGAGCTTAAGAACTTTTTTATTTCCCTTCAGAAGCAAAGAGAACTTTAAACTACAAAGAAAAATATTTACTTGTGTTGTAGCTGGTTTAGTAATCTCAAATAAAATGCTTTTTTATGAACAAAGCCTGAAGTGATATTAGTGCTTTAAATGATCATACTTTTTGTTCTGTAGATTTTAAGCCAAGCATATTATCATGCACAAGTTACGATCAGAAATGTAATGTATTTGTTCCGTTGGTGCTCTCCACCTCGCAGGTTGTAGAAGAGTACAACAGGGGAGAGCAGGAAATCAAACATCTTGAGAACGAGCTTAAGAAGAAGACCGATGCCCTGAACGACTACAGACAGAAGATTTCAGGGGTGTGTAGTTTTACTTTACTGTAGTATTTATTCTGAAGTGTTAAACCTGCTGCTGTTTATTATGTGTTGTGATTGTGTTGTTTGTCACAGGCCAAGGAACGCTGGCTCAACCCCCTGAAGCAGCTGGTTGAACAGATAAACGAGAAGTTCAGTGATTTCTTTCGCTCCATGCAGTGTGTAGGAGAGGTCGATTTGCACTCGGAGAACGAGGTAAAATTAGCCACACAGTTTTATATGTTAATAACTCTACTATTTCATTTTTTTACAGCTATGCAACTATGAGACAAAATACTTGAATCCACAAGATATGTTATATATACAATCAAACTGTATTTTCTGTAAAACTTGTAAAGAACTGACAATCGAATAGTGCTGTACTACTACATCTGGTTTAAAATGTTGATTTTTAGGGTACCATCACTTATAACTGGATCTTTAAAGAGCCTGTGACGTGCAAATCCTTCAAATACAAAAAAGTCGAAGAAATAATTTTTATATTTAAGAAACKTGGCATAATACACACGATTTTATCCATTTAGTCACATAACCAGTGTATTGTCTTTTGGATTTAGCTCAGCCAACATGAAACAGGAAGTGACATCAAAGGGGAACTCTTTAAGAAAGAAAACWCTCTCACTCTGATCTTTGTTTATTGAAACATTGTTTGAACTTTGACTCTTCATCTCTCTGATAATGACTCAAAATAATCTAAAGAAACATCAGATTCTTCTCTACAGTCTGTGTTGTCAGACATTTTATCAATGCTCTGTTCACAAGCAGACATTCCCCTTTGACATCACTTCCTGTTGCTTTACATGCAAAAATCTCAACAACTGTTCATGTCAGCAGTGTGAAATTTGTTTTACATTTATTTCCTTTATTTAACCAGGAAAGTCCCATTGAGATTAAAAACCTCTTTTTCAAGGGAGTCCTGGCCAAGAGGCAGCAAAAAGTATACATTTACATAAAAATTACACAATTAAAATACAAAACAAACAATCACTAATAAAAACATTGACAGTTCAAAGACGTAGTCTCTAATGCCCTCAATCTGGACTTAAAGGTGCTCAATGGGATCAATTCTGTTAACTTCCAGACTTTTTGCAACATATTCCATGTAGATGGGGCAGAGTAAACAAAGGCCCTTTTCCCAAATTCTGTACGGAGAAATGGAACAGAGAGCAAGAAATAATCATCTGAACGCAAAGAGTGTGAATCAACTCTTTTTCGTGTGATTAGGTCACAGATGTAAGATGGTAGCTGCCCAAGCAAAGCCTTATAAATAAAAGTGTACCAATGTCCCAAAAGCTTTAATGTGTTGTCTGCTTGAATGTACTTCAGTAAAACATCTGACACGGAGGACAAATAACATGTTCACAAC